ACCTCACCTTAGTCTGGTAAAGTTCCTGTATTTGAGCGTCAATCCACTCTTCTAGTTTAATCCTGCGCTGCAGTTCCTTGCGGTTATATTTCACTGTGAGTTTCCCCAGGTTCTTGGGCGTCTTGTCTTCGTCTTGTTTTTCTACGTCTAAGAAGGTGACCCGAGGAGCAGTGCTGTCACTCTCAGTAGCCATTGTCACTCTTGGGAACACTGACCTGTGCGTTGCTCTGTTTGATCTAATTTTTTCCTGAATGAAGTAGATCTGCAGGTGTGCAGAGGATCAGAATACATGCCATCAGGAGACAGGGAAAGACTGTGACGAAGGTACAGATACAAGGAAGTGAAGTCTCTGCCAGCTTCTTGTGTTTCACTGTTCCAGGCCAGATAGAGATCAAATGTTCACATATTATCTTATATCACTCTAAAGGGATACGCTGCAAGATAACACCAACACTTTTATGGTTCACTAACATTACTATCATTCACATACGGCTAACGTGGAATTTGTCCGATAGAAATAACTACAAGCCTCTATTGAGAAAAAAAACCCGAATCATAGTCCACTTCCTTTTAATAATAAAACTAAAAACATTCAGGCGCTAGATTGTGATATTATGCAACATGTCCTTATATAGTCTATAAAACAAAAACCAGCCAAACGGCAGGTGACAATCAGTAAATCACTGTTGTGCTGTGCAGCAGTCTAGCAGCTCCATGAGGAATAACACCAGGAGTGGTGTAGTGCAATATGTGATCCAATAGTCCACAGTAAGCACTTAGGAAAGCGGATGACCATGTAAGACCACAGCACACAAAGTACAAATAGAAAAAAAAAATTATTGACAAAGGGCCATGCCTGAAACACGTAATCATGATGACAGCCCAAGCCTCAGTTTCAGCCTCTGCTTAGTTTGTGGTCCATCACATCCACTTCTGGTCAGCGGCATACTCCTGGGTTGCTGATGTCACTTCCAGTGCAACAGCCTTGAAGATCGGCCATACACCAACAGTCTGTCTGCACTGGTATCCACATTTACATCCACATATGTGGCTGGCCATCCGGCCATTCATCCACATGATCCCGCAGCTTATACCAGTCCAGCATCCAGTTTCTGCCATCCTCATCTGATGGAGGTAATCTCTTTCTGAGACCCACAACCACATGTCGTCACTGTCTTGTCCCTATCTACTCTCAGTGGCATCTTGGGTTCTATGTGCATGGAATAATCGCTATAATAACAGCTTGTAGCAGAGGCCTCATGTCTTTTTATGCCCAGATATGGGCTTTCTATACATTTGTTTTAATATGAGGATCTATTATCAATTACCTTTTTAAAGACCTGGCTTTCCGTGTGTCAATAAATGTTTTTATGATTTGTACATAGTGTGATGTGGTTTTACATGGTCATCAGCTTTCTTAAGTGGACTGTGGACTATTGGATCACATATTCCTTTTAATAATGTTTGTTGCCTGGTTATCTCTGTCCTTATGATTCTGAATCACAAACCTGAGACAAGCATGCAGCTAGTGAAGTCAGTTTTGTGTCAAGTGTCTTCATCTCCATAACCAGAAGGGTCAGTGACTGGGAAAGTGCTGAAGCCTTTGAATCTACATAATAGCCAGACAACAGGTATTTATAAATGGAAGGTTCAGCATTGGAAGGCTCCCTCCCTTGCAGGTTTTCTTTCTTCTTTTTAATATTGTAGTGCAACAGAAAGACTTCAGTCTTACTCACCCGGACTCAGGTGGACAGGAAGCTACGACTTCAATTTCAAGTTATTTAATATTAATGTTGAACTCCAGCCTTACCTTCAGTCTTGCACAGTTGTAGAGGATCCTCTCCTGTATAGAAATTGCTTACTGTGAGCATCTCAGAATCTGCAGCAAGTCATTTACTAGCTGTGGAACGTCCAGCATCATCTAGTCTTTTTCTCCCCAGCCTGTGTGGTCTGCCCCTTTTATGCATTGGATTTTAGTTCTTTCAATTACAGAGGCTCTGCATGCTATGTGGGCAGCAGCACCCAGGGTGGTCTGCATGTATATACAGTCTGCCTAGGGTGGCCCACTTCTTCAGACTGATATCACCAAGGCACTTTGATAATTACATACTTTCTCCAAAAAGTCAGCCTACCATTGCAACAGGGCTGAGGGCTCCTGAGAGGAGTACCAACTTGGGGTGCTGTGATTTTTTTAGGAAGAGATGTACAGCTCCCTTCTGGCCCCTCCCACCGGCCATGATCTGCCTGCATTGCATAGAGAAACAGAGAAGCAAAGTGATGACATCACTAAGTCTAAAATAAGGTACAATATGTATTGAAAAAAAAAAATAGTAGCATGCTGATGGGGGTGGGAGGGTTAAATGTAAGAAGATTACATTTCAGCTTTAAAACAGGTCACTAACCATTTTGAACAAATTAAGTAAAGAGCAGATGAACCCTTACATTTTTTTTTTCGCTTGTGAGAATTTGAGAATAATGAATATATGAAGCTAATTTCGAAAACAAATAATTCTAATATAAAGAATATGATGAAACAAAATGATTAACTTAGCAAAGGAATCAGAAACTAAACAAATTTTTCCTTTTTGGAAAATCCAGAATGGCACCACAGAAAGAGAAAAAAAATTCTACTCCATCTGAAACTACAAATAAAATTTTTGTCTGCAGATACAGCTTAGTTATAAAGACAGTTAAAGCAGAGTTCCAGCCGTTTTAGAGTTTATTGAAAGTCAGCAGCTATAAAAACTGTAGCTGCTGACTGTTAATAAACACACACTCACCTGTCCCGGGGTCCAGCGCTGTCCCTTCTCCTCTTCTCTCCTCCACGCACCAACATCTCAGCTGTGGGCACCAGGCTGTGACAGCTTGCGGCTTCACAGCCTGGTGTCCACTGCGCATGCGGGAGTCGTGCTGCACCTCCTAATTGGTCCAGCAGTCTCCTGGGACTTGTGAAAGTTCCCAGAAGACTGTGGGAGGGTGGAATGGGCCTAACTGAGCCAGAAGTGGGAGCGGGTACATATCAAAAACCAGGTATCCGCTCCCCCCTCCCTCTAATAAAGTACCAAATACGGCAGTGGGGGGGGAGGTAAATAAGTGGAGCTCCACTTTAAAGCTACCCTTTGGGCACAAACTAATCATACCAACAAATCTTTATTTGCCTTTTTTTTAACAGTTTATAATCTGCAAGATAGAGGAACAGATTGAGATGTAACGGTATATAAAAAAACCCCATGGCAATAAAAAAAAAGCAATGTACAAAAATGGTAACTTGCAGCAAGCTGCCAGAGAATAAACAGTATTAGACGAGAGATGTAAAATCAGGAAAATGAGTAAATTGATGTATAGAATGAAGAGTAACCAGGATAAAGATTATTCAGGTTGTCAGATGGACAGCTCCCAATGTGTTTGTAGAATTTTAAAACAAAATAAAGTGAAAAATGATGCTGAATATACAGTCAGGGCAAGGGAGGTATTCTGATAGGATGATTGACTTTGGACATTATCCAGTCACAGGTTGGGGGCAGGTCAATGATGGCCTGGGCTTCAAGGAAGTGGGTTGAATAATGCTGTCATTCAATGTAGAAGACTGAGAACATCTAGGGGCAGAAAAGATGTACTGCAGAATACAGATCTGGATTGAACAAGTACATTGCAGCAAAAGCTGTCTATTTATTGCATCATTATATTCATGTTTTGTTGTATGTTTAACTGTGATTTAGTTGAGGACTAAATTGTCCAGTGCTTATCTGTTCCTGTCCTAATTTATCATTCTAGCTTTGGAATGTGCGCACACTGGAAGAGACTCACGCTGACACACAAGTTCAGTCTATGAACACTTCTAGTTTATTATAATGAGAAAGTGAGCTTATACATGCAAAATGATGCGAGAGTCATGTGAGAACAGCATAAGCATTATTTTAGTCTTTGATTGGTCATTTCCACACGAAAACAATCTCCGTCATGGTATAGGTGTGATCTCCTTCCAAGTCTTATCTTATAGAAAGAAAAACATTCCTTTGTCTCAAGCTGGCACAATGGGAGGGGGGGGTCGGTGCGTGTGAGCAAACATTTCTTAAGCAAGGATTTCTTAAAGTACCACAAGGCACAGCAGGCAGAAAATATTCACACAACATATGTATTCATACTAAACATTTATAAATATGAAGAAAGAAATAGTATTAAAGTATAAAAGTAAATATGTATAAAAATGTGTAGAAAAACGTGTATATATATATATATATATATATATATATATATATATATTCAGTAGGAAACCAAATAGGCATTTTACCATATCCATCACAACTGGAGTTCTTCTTTCATCTTTAAGTGATCTGCCAGTAGCACACAATGCTAATAGATTTCTCTAGGTTATTGGACTTTCCTAACTATTATTGAAGTTTGAAATTACTGCACTAATGAATTGGCAGCCATTTCATTGCTCTACACACCCTACCTCAGCCAGCATTCTGTAATACAACAGAGACTGAATGCTGTTAAAAAGTTTATGACCTTCTGGAATTGTATGTCGTGAGTTGACCATATGGTATTAACAGACACACCTTGGTTTAATAATTCCTGTAAAGATAGCAAAACTTCGAGCAAGGTACAGTTGTGAAAGACACATAAACAAAGATAAAAATGTTAAGCCTATGCACAATGGTGTAAGGAAATATGAAAATACTGCCATAATTGGTTCTCTCTGGCCCCCCAAGCATTGTTTTTTCTGCATCTACAGGGGTTTGACACTTGCCTACTCCATCTAAAACAAAAAAAAGTTTGGGTTTTAAATATACTTTAACTACCTTCCGCCCGCCCTATAGTACAATGACGGGCGCAAAGTGGTTCTCTCGTTCTGATAGGACGTCCTACCATTCTCACTGCGCATGCGCGGCTCAGGGAGCGCGCAGCGCGGCGATCGCCAGTCCGCTGTGTCCCTCGGATACAGCGGATCATGGAAAGAGCCGAAGATGTCGGCTTGGTCATGTGATTAGCTGTGTCCAATCACAGCTGATCACATGTAAACACGGAAATGGCGGTTATCAGCATTCATCTCCTCTAGAGCTGTCATGCTGACAGATCGAGAGGAGAGGAGAGCCGGTAATCGGCTTTCCGCGGAGGGGACATGTACACTGATCATCAGGGCACTGATGATCAGTGTGCCCTGATGATCAGTGTGGCCCCAGAAGTGCCACCTGTCAGTACTCATCAGTGCCAGTGCCCAGTGCCACGTGCCAGTGGCCATCAGTGCCGCATCAATGCCACATATCAGTGCATACCAGTGCCCATCTGAGCTGCCTTTCAGTGTCACCCATCAGTGCCACCTATCAATGCCAATCAGTGCCACCTATCAGTGCTGCCAATCAGTGCCACCTATCAGTGCCAGCCAGTGCCGCCTAACAGTGCCAGCCAGTGCCACCTAACAGTGCCAGCCAGTGCCGCCTAACAGTGCTGCCTATCAGTGCCATATATTAGTGTCATGTATCAGTGCTGCCTTTCAGTGCCCATCAGTGATGCCTGTCAATGCCCATCAGTGCCACCTACCAGTGCCTCCTCATCAGTGCCCATCACTGCAGCCTCATTAGCACACATCAGTGAAGGAGAAAAATCACTTATTTACAAAATTGTATAACAAAAACTAAGAAAAAACTTTTTTTTTTCAAAATTTTCAGTGTTTTTTGGTTTGTTTAAAAAAAAAAAAAAGAAAAATCCCAGAGGTGATTAAATACCACCAAAAGAAAGCTCTATCTGTCTAAAAAAAAATATGATAAAAATTTCATATGGGTACAATGTTGCATGACCGCGCAATTGTCATTCAAATGTGACAGTGCTGAAAGCTGGAAATTGGCCTGGGCAGGAAGGGGGGATAAGTGCCCTGTAGGCTAGTGGTTAAATTCTAACATCTGATGCAGTTTCTGGATGTTCAGACATTGTACAATTTGGCAAAATTTTGTTTGTGGTTAATAAATTCTGATCAAATCTCGCTCTGGCAAATCTAAACAAATCCAAATAGAAGAGTAATTTTACTGTAGCAATGACCCCCTAACAAGATGCTGGATTTTTGGGCCCTCACAGCTATTCAACCAGTGCTCTGACCCATAGCTGCTCCCGAACACTCCCCGACCCACCAGCAGCGACATAATGACAGACATCCACTCATTCTCCTGATGCAAAATGTATAGATTCATTGCCCAGGGAAGAGAGGTATATTGTAGGATACCTTAAATGGCGACAAGACCCACTCAGTAATACTTTGTAGTATCCTTGCCTCTGCCACAGGTTAATGTAGAACTATGTAGGCAAGACATCTACCTGGAAACTCTTCAGCCCCTCTCCTAAGATAGTGGTGGACCTTTAAGCTGGGACTGTCCATAGACTGAGCCACACTGTTATAAATGTGCTTCCCTTAATTGTCACCTAATTCTTGTACTTCCAGACCCCAACCTATGCAAGCCTAAAGAGGAACTTCACTACCTCTTCTCTGTTGTTTTTTTTTTTTTTAATTCTTGCCTTTTGTGAAGCTCTTCACCTAATCCACATACCCAGTGCCAAGTGAATCCAGCATTGTCTCGCTCTGATCTGCAGTTCTGTTGACTCAGCTTGAGTCTTGTTCTGTCATCTTGGTCCTCCTCAGTTATCAGGAGCTGACTGTCTCTTGTGAGTTCAGGCAGCCAGCATCCAATGATGCGTGCAATTCCTGCTACTGCCCTACTCCTGTAGCCTCCTGGGACATGTCAGGGGCTATACAAGGAGGATGCAGAGGCAAAGACACGTCAACCTCACCAAGGTGAAAATAGCAGTGGGTTAGAATGAAAAATAAGAAGGCAAACAAACAAAAACGCACTTTTCAAATAGCAGAGGCGGTTGCTGCTGGTTACAGTATGATTGTAGGGTGAAAATCTTAAAGCCTTGGCTCTAAAACTGTAAACCCCCCAAGCAGCAGGTCTAGACTCTTCTCCCTTTCCCTGAACCAACAAGCCTGATCTTTCAATCACTCACCCATCCTCTCCAGGCAAAGCATGGGAGGGAAGGCCCTCTAAAGCAGGCCATACATGGGTCGAATTCCGAACGATTTATCAATCGAAAATTTAAAACATTGTTCATTCTGTGCCACCAATGATTTAGAAAATCGGTCGTTTTTCACGAATTTTCCAGCATGCCCGATAAACGAAATGGGGAGGGACCACAAAAATCGGCCAGTGCCATTGCCCCACTGAATAAAAATTGGCCGATTATTCTTAGGTCTGATTTTCAAACAAAATATCGTTTGAAAATTGATCCATGTATGGCCATCCTTAGGCCTATTGTACAAAAACATTTTTTTACTGATCTGAACACAGATGCATTGTTATCTATGGAATAATGCACACAGCTGTGTAAAGATGAATGTATTGTTTGTTTTTTCATTTCAGTGCAATAGTTGCATAATGCATGTACTGTATACTTAAGGTTTGTACCTAACAATTTACTTTCTGCCAGCAAGATCCTACATATAAATATCAGTAAGTTTTTATGTCCGTATGCAAGGAGGCCTAACAGTACATCCTTTTCAGGCAAATCCCGGGAGGACCCTTCTGGACAGTCTCCCCAGTATGTATTTTCTTTCCCCACCTCACATAACTGGCCTAAGCCTCCTAATGATTGGCCAAGGTGAAATAAATATTCGTAATCCTAAATATTGTATCCTCTTTCTCTATCTACTAAGGACCATTCCCCAGCAACAGGCAATAGTAAACTTTATTCTGAACTTATAGGAAACCCAATAAATTTGAAAAAGGTGAACAGGGAAAGTCTAGGCTATCTACTGCCTACCTGTGACACTATATTTACCCATGGACAAATACCTAAAAGAAAATCACCTAGTGACACTCCAAGTTTTGGCAGGGTCACTGCCATACTATCTGCAGTATATGAAAATTGGATGTCAATATTTAGTGCATCATAGAAATGGGACTGTCACCAAAATGCTGGCTCTCATTTTATGCAACACATTTTATAAGGAGGCATTATTAACCCCTTGATACTGACGGCACACAAATATGTGGCCTCACGGAACTGGGCTTTTTTCCGTGGGGCCGCATATTTGCGTACCTGTCTTTGTGCTGGGAGCGCGCCGCTCAGCGTGCTCCCAGCACAGAGACCGTGGACAAAAACAAAATGTGCACTATTGTTTATGGGCTGTACTACGGGTACAAACAACAAATAACATACACATATATGGTATCGCTGCGATCGTCAAGAGCTGGAGAATTTATTTTGGGTTGTTCTATGGAGGTATGTTATGGTCGTAACAAGAAACACACAGCTAAATAAAAAAAAAAAAAAAATTTTTTTACTATTTTGGCCCAGTTTTCCTTTGATAATAAAAAAAATTAGGAGCTATCCATTACCATTTAACACCAAATGAAAGCCCAATTTGTCCTGAAAAATCAAGGTATAATCCACCTGGATGTACAAAGTAGTTGTGGTGATATGTATGCTTTTACTAACATGTCAACGTTGAAAAATTGTGCTTAGGCATTTAGATTTGTTTTACCCTTAGGCGTGAAGGGGTTAATACTGATCTATTGAAATTTTACAGGGATTCAGCTCTCAGATGCATTGCTGGAGGTTCTGAGAGAGTTCTTTCATCTGCCTTGACAATTACTAATTGCAAATAACATAATCCAAGAAAAATCCAGGCTTCAACTGAATATATAGTGGTTTTGTACTTTTTAATTTTTTTTTTTGTAAAATGGTCATACAGTAAGTAAAATATCACATTTGATTTTTTTAGGCAAACATAAAATATTGCCTATAAATAATTTATGTTTTTTTTGAGACAGTAAATGGAGATTTAGGATAAATTTCACACTGTAATCTAATGCCGGCTATAGACGGTTCAAAAATCAGCCGATTTTTCGTCCGAAAGATTAATCAGCTGATTTTTGCACTGTTAGTGGGTTAATTCGTCGGCCGATTTTCACGTTGTCTCCACTTTTGGATTATCGGTCTTGTTGGAAAATTTGTGGAAAACTACCGATTTTCGCGTCAATGATGGTCAAATCGTACGATAATTTTTAAGAAAAAAATATGCACATGAGCTGTGACCTGGAAGGAAAAGAAGTTTCGCCTGTACGAAATTTCTTATCCAGGACAAAGTTCAAAGCTGTTGAATGTCAACAAAACATTATTAGATGGCTTCCTGTGTGTGAATAAATGTACAGCTTTCTGTGTGTGATGTACAGAACATGCATTTGCTATGGTTATTGCTCTAATTTATGTCCATTCTCACCATATACTAACCATTATTAAAACATTTACGCCCAAAATAGTGAAATATACAAAAATATTTCATTCAGATATAAAAAAAAGTAAAATAGAGATCATTTTAAAGCAGCACTGCTTTATTGAGCTACTTTTTGACATTATCAAAAATAGTTTACTTTTGAAGTTATTTTTTAGCAAAAAATATTTTAATGTTTGAATAAATATTGTCTTTTTTTGTATAAATATTCAGTTTTTTTTTTTTTTTTAAATAGAACATTATTCAAACTGTACATTGTGTACATATATTTTTAGAAAACTATTCTGACAAAATGGTACAGACCTTCAATATAGAAGACATAATTGACCACACCATCCACAATGTGTACAATCACATTGTATAGTCAGGCCATACATTATACAATTTTCTTACAGATTTTGCTTAAGATTTCTATAAACCATATAATATGAGGTCACACCTGTACAACATTTTCAGTTGTATCCAAATAGGCAGGTCAATGCACTACATAGTTGATGGTAAATCTAAAAGGGCCTCATATTATATTTATTTTAGTAAATCAAAAGCAAAAATCTTAAGAAAAATTGTATAATGTATGGCCAGCCTTTAATGCAACATTTGTCTCAGACAAGCACATAGCATACCAAATAACTTAGAATAGTACATTCTACATAACATTTTTTACACACATGTTCAGAAAAATGCAACACATGACTCAAATCAGTTTGCAAAGGGTATCCAATACTGTATTGATCCTGACTTGTAAGGTGGTCAGAGTATCTCTTATATCCTAAATTTGTATGTTGCAAGCCATTAATTCTGCTGTCAGTTTTTGTGCAGTATAACTGTTAAGTCCAGTAGAATCTGGATTTCCTGTTAATAAAATTTTGCAATTATTAACATACATATATATTTACATAGATAAATGTATATATAGATGAATGTATATATATATATGAATACTTACCGGACCTTGTGCTATTGACTGGCTCCTCATCAGCAACTGGTAGAAGGTCAGTTATTATTTCCGGCCATTTTTACCAATATCAAGGTAGAGGAATTCATATTTAGCATTTACAATGGCCGACAGGATGATGCTGAAGAAGCCTTTGTAATTATAATAGTATGATCCAGAATGTGCAGGTGGTGTGATGCGCACATGTTTTCTATCTATGGCACCGCCA